GTTTTCACCAGAGTTTCATGCATCTTATCTAAAACACGACACGCATAGATTTAGTTTACAAGGAATCAAGAATGATGAAGGCTTCAAGGATCCAAACCATGGCTCAGAGGATCCAGATGGACTGTCCCTGGTGTGGTTCAGTCTGGCTGTGCAAGAAAATGAGATCCAATCAGCTGAGCAGACGCTCCTGAAGAAGACCAACATGCATGCAGAGCCGGGCTTCCTGAAGAAGCTTGCCTCCTCTCCAGCGTTCAGTGAGAAGTCCAGGTATGGATCGTATCGCTTCACCTTCATGGTGCAGGAGGTGCTGAAGGCCTATAGCAAGCAGGTACGGACTCCTTCAGTTCATATTAATGCCTGTATTTACAGGTGTTTACTATTATTTTCTTATAGTTGAGATGTGTAAATGTCAAAGATAGAAATTCAATAAATTTCTTCTTTATTTAAGTAGCCAGTCCATCCATCACCTGAGACTGAAACAGACTCCAGCGTATTTTCCATAAAACAAAAAAAACAACAAGTAGAAAAAGACAGAAAGACAGTAAGATGTTAGGGAGGTTATTTTGGTTAGTATTTGACTCTGTGTCTTTCCCTCAGCGTTCCCCCGGTTAAGTCATTCCTGTCTTCATGTTTGTCTAGATGTCTGTTTTCTCAGTTGTTTTACTGTGTGTGTCTCACTGTGACTCTTATCCCTCGATCTCCTCCCTCTGTTCGTTGGGTTTTGTCAGTCTGTGTTGCCGCGTGTGTCTCATACTTCCTGTTTTTGACAGTCTCTGGTTCTGTGTGTACTATGTTCAGCCATGCTTCCCCAGGTGTGTCCTTTTTGCCCCGATTCCCTTGTGTATTTAGTGCCTCGGTCTCCCTCTGTCCGGTGTCATGATCTTCCCAGGTGTGTGTTCTGCTTGTCTGTTTAGTTCCTAGTTTCCTCCTAGTTTGCTTTTATGAATTTTGTAACGCAGCAATAAAGCTGCATTTTTGATTTAGTCCTGTCTCTGAAAGGCAGTATTTTGGGTCCTCAGTGTTGCCTGCTTCACACTGCCACTTGACATAAAAGTTATGTGACTGATAATCTGCTAACCATGTTTAGTGTTGTTGGTCCATGTTCTGAGCCTCAGGCTGATAATTTATAGACACAGTCTCTGTGAGTTTTCCACTAAAACATTTTTTTCTTTTCAGTTTTGT